ACACCGAAGCTGGGTGTCGTAGAACACACCTGTAGTCCAAGAGTGTTTTGGAAACCGAAGCAGGAGGATTGTGACTTCAAAGGCAGCCTGGACTATGTGGTTAGCCACAATCTCAGAAAAATTACATGCTGAAATACAGAGGGAGAAGGAGATATGATACATGCAACTTACTTCTAAATGGTTGAAGAGAATCAGATAGTTACGGACAAATAGACAAGTTGGCAGAGTTACAGAGAAGAAGAAAGAGAAGAGACAGAGGGAAGGAAATGGAAAACAGACACGCACGATTAAGTAGACAGTGACAATATGCTAATGGCTGGTGACAGAGTCCTTGAGGCTTTTCTGAATGCTTGAAATTTAAAGTTGACAGAAGCAATGCATCTACAGACATGGATAAACACACACACACACACACACACACACACACACACACACACACACACACACACACACAGAGAGAGAGAGATACACAGATGGAGGGCAATCCATCCCGAGTATTGCTGCCTCAGCCACATTACTTCACCGTTATCTCCCATCCACCCCTCATTCCCATATCACTTAAAGAATGTCTTTGACATCCAATCCCCTCTCACTTCCTCTAAGACATTAAGGAACGCGAGTCTTCTCTGTTGCTTCCTGTTTCTTCCTCTGGAGGCCATGACTCCCATGATGTCAGAGAACATGAATCTGGAGGCTGTCCCTTTGAGGCACAGAATACCGCTAGAGAATGTGCTATTTGTCATGGATTTGCTGGGACTTGGTCCCTAGGTCCTGATACCCCCACACTTTCCTATTGTGGGTCTTCTTTGCTTGGCACAAATGTTTCTGCTGGTGGATCGGAGGATGGAGAGTCCTTTTGCTTTCTCTCTCTGAAGGGCAGTTTGAATGTCACATGGATGTACCTTTCTGTATCCTTTCCAGCATGTGAAAAAAATCATATTATAAGTTCTTAAATGCAGATGTCCTAGTTGTATTTATTAATTGACTCACATATTTGCTTTCAAAAAAGGCAGAGGAATTGTGAATGTATCAATGTAAAATGTAATGCTCATTAAAAAAAGTGGACCATTCCATGCAGTAAATGACAAGAAGCTGCAAGACAGTGTAGAAAGGTTAAAAGAAGCTCAGATCATAATAATAACGGGGCCTTTCAAACTTTAACTTACATACAATTCTCCCAGGATCTTGCCAAAATGCAGCTTGCAATTGGCAGTCTGAGACAGTTCTCATAATTTCACTTGTGTGTGTGTAGTGTGTGTGTGTGTGTGTGTGTGTGTGTGTGTGTGTGTGTGTGTGCGCGCGCGCGCGCGTGCATGTGGGTATTTCCACATGTGTGTGTACCATACACAAGTGCACATGTCTGTGTTTGTATGTGAAAGTCCGAGGTTGACATTAGATGTCTTTCTACATCACTTTCTTAATTCAGACAGAGTCTCTCTCACCTGAGTGCAGATCTGACTGGTTCACTAGTCTAGCTAGTCAGTTTGCTGTGGGACATCCTTCATCTCTGCCTCCTGAGTGCTGGCACTCCAAGTAGGGTGCAATGCTGCTCAGCACATACGTGAGTGCTAGGGATCTGTTGCCTAAAACCCTTCCTGGAAGAATACTGTAGATGAACGGTGAAAGGCCATTAAAGAGAGTTGAAGTAGGTGAACCGTGAAGAGAGCATTTCATGGTCAGGGATCTACCAGTCAACTCCCCAGGGAGAACATGAACTTGACTCGCAGGAGACTTTGTGAACAGTCTTTGCATTGTGGAGACAAGGAGGCATATTTTAAATGCACTTTAAAAATTATTTTAAATTTTATTCTTTACGTACATTACATCCCGACCACACTTTCCTCTATCTCTACTCCTCTCAATGCCCGCCCCATCTACTCCTCCTCCTAGAACAGCCACTTTAAATACTTGGCTGAAGAGCATGAACTGGGCAACAGAGATAGGGAGAGTGTGAGAGAAGTCTGTAATGACAAAGTCTGCTTAGACAAGGTTATCCCAGATGTTCACACATCCACGGCACACCACCGTTATAACGGCTTTTTCTGGGAGTCGAATATTTGGATAGTGCTCAAAACTGCAGAGGAGTTATTAAAGATTTATCACCTAAGTATTTTCTGCTTTCAATTTTTTCCCCCTCAGATCCTGCCAAATGGCTCAATTTTAGGGGTGGGGGCAGGGGGCAGGGGCAGGGGCAGGGGCAGGGGCAGGGGCAGGGGCAGGCAGTGCTTAAATTTCCTATGCTCAAGGTAAATTAGACTCAGCCTCCTGAGTTCTGGGATTAGCGGTGTGAGCCGTCACCCATGACCACGATGGTGATTTTCAAACTGAGTTGTGCTTATCCGAAGGTTCCATGAGGTCCCATCTCGGGGGCAGCGGCGGAGTGGTAAGGAGAAGGGGGAGGGGTACACGGCAGGTCTTACCAACATTTTAAGAATCATTTTAACCAACTGCTTTATCCTTTGGACACCCACAGGAGCAAGGAGCCAGGGCATTGTTTTCCGAGGTTGGAATTTGAATGGGAAATCCACACGAGGAAAGAACACAGCATTCTGGGACCCAAGTGCAGTGCATGGCCGTCCACCTCACTTATTTTTCCCCCGTTCTGACCAGAGTGATCCCTGGAAAGAGCAAGGCTTTAGGAATGGTAGGAGCAGAAGCGAGTCACCTTATGTGCATTTCTACAATCTCACGAAACCAAACACACTTGGCCACAGCCCATCGTAGTCACCAACTCTTGTGTTAGGGTTGCAGAGAACTGGAAACGACCAGAGGCTTGCAAGCATTCCTTCCGTAGCGTTTATCTGAGAGGAAGGTGGTTTGTTTTATAAAACGTGGAAAGGGGACCAAAAGGGAAGTTGGATGAGAACAGTGTTGGTGTATACATTCCGAGAAGCCTGGAGTGAACCGGTTATCCAAGTGATAACAGTATCACATATCTCTTCAGCTTGGCTTTATCACTGTGAGTTTAAGAATCTGAAAACAACCTTTTCTGTTACAATGTTCGTAAGAGAGAAGATAGGATAAAACTCATAACAGACAGCCATCGATGGGGCTTTGTGTTTATTTGCTTGGTCTGATTTTCAGAGAAATAGCCAACCTTCTTTGGTTTAGATTTTTTTTTGGCTAAACATGGACTTCTAGTATATCTTTTGTTTCATTTTTCATTGTATCAGAAGACATAGGCAGAAAGAACATTAACTAATGTGAGTGAATGATCTCATGGTTTAGAGAGCACGGAACCATGTAGCAAGAGGATGTGATGTGTGGTCATGAACAAGGCACTACTCATGTATCCAGGACAGACACACCTTGGATGTATGTGTGTTTCTAAGGTCATAGTGAAATCTGTTTAGTAAACAGCCCACATCCTTTGCAGACATGCTCTCTTCCATACCTATGCTGTACAGCTTGCACTAACAGCCCAGTGGTAGATGGTCCTCAAGACCAGTGAACACACAGTCACCTTTGTTGTTAAGTCTACATATCTCTTCCCGTTCCCTGTGAGTTCTGATCACACGTGAGTGGTAGGCTCTCTTATGATGTTCATTGGCAGAATGGACTACTGCAGTCCACACTTTCTCTTGCCTGAAGACTTGATACTAGGCTTTTAGAGAACTACTAAGATGGCTGGTGTTAAATAAAATGCATGGGCACTTTTGGTGAGCCCTGAGGTCTGTATATTGCAGGAGTGTGTTATAGCGGCCTGGAAATACTGTGGAAAGAGTACAGAGAGAGTCAAAGGTGTCAGACTTCTCTATCTGGGCAGCTTAAAAAAATCCAACTTTGTTGTGACTCTGGTGTGTGTGTGTGTGTGTGTGTGTGTGTGTGTGTGTGTGTGTGTGTGTGTATGTGTGTGTGTGTGTGTTGAATGTGCATGTAGAAGCCAGAGGGCAATGCTGGTGTCTTGTCAATCATTCTCCACCTTATTTTTGAACTCTTACTGAACGTGGAGCTTGAGGATTTGACTGACTGGCCATGAGCTCCAGTAACCCTCCTGTCTCCATCTCCTAACGACAGCTTCACAGGCACACACTGCCACACTAAACCTTCTGTGTGGGTGCTGGTGATCTAACCTCAGGTTCTCACATTGGTGTAGCAAGCACGTACCTACCAGGCCATCTCGCCAGCCCTGGTGTAATCTCATGTATATTTTACCCTTATAATGAATAGCTCATGAATTTGACTCTGGCCAGAAGTAATTTCAGGCAGAGGAACATTGGCTCACAAAGATATTTTCAGCAGAATCATGGACCTAAATAGGATGGATGGGATTGAAAGATTAATCCAATTGAACTATTTTACAGAAGAGGAAGCTAGGGGAACAAGAAGATGCGTGGCTTTGATTCCCATTCTCATTCTGATAAAGGCTGTGGGCGACCAGAAGGCAATCCATCACTAATGTGATGCATTGTGCATCTACAGGGTCCGTGGTAATATTTAGCTTTACTGAGGGGCATTAAAAGGGAAGGAAGGATCCAAACTGCACTTATTTATGAGTTATGATGCAGATGCATCTGAGTGATGAGCAGTATAAATAGCTACTCTCTAGGACCTCTTCAGTACATAAGATGTCCTGTTTGCAAGTTAGATTCATTTCTGTTTGAGTTTCGAAGATCGTAAACACATGAAAAGGCTTATTTGCAAATTATGTACTCCAAATTGCTTGTAACATGGTCAGGGAATTCCTTAGCTTAACCAAATGAAAAAATATTGTGGGAATTTTGCACAACCACGCAGCTGTGTCTTTATCATTTGATGTCTTTGCTCACTCAACAGAAGACAAGAAAACTTTATCACCAACCTGGCCAGATAACCTTGTACCAGTCAGCAGGCCTCTTTGCATGTTTAAAATCTGGCACTGTGTAGAACAGCAAAATGGTGAAATTTGCAAAAGCTTTGAGGCTATCCAAGTCCTTGAGAACGATAGAACTGGCCTACGTGATAGTGACTGCAATACGTAGTTTCAGATGTAAATTGTCCAGTTCAGCCATCTCTAAGACCACCGTAAAAACACTGCAGAAGCTCTGCCCAATAGCTGAATGGTGTTTTTAGAAGATTTGTTTCAATAGAACCAGCTACAAGCAGCCAAGTGTCCTTCATCTTTTCCTTAGGTATTCCTGGTGTCTTCGGGAAGACAAGCTGAATGTGGCCCACAGGGTAAGGCAGAAAGAGCACCAGCGCCACCCCCTGGATGCAGGGAGAAAGAGGCATTGCACATCCAAGATGCTCGGTGTCTGGGAGTGAAGCCTTCTTGCCTGATTTGCCGCCTCGCCGCTCTATTGCATTTCTAGTCATGCTGTCTTTATTTCTCATCCTGTATTTTCATTTCTTGCACATATATTAATGTTACCCCCACTTTTAGTTTCTATTTTCCTGTTTAGGAAGAGGTCCAGAACATGGGGGCGGGGCGTGCTAAGCTGGGAGGTGAGGGGGACGAGAATTGGGACACCCTTTGGAGGACTCATCCAGTGAAGCTTTATGTCTCCATGCAGGTTATGTGTTCTCCTGAACACACAGGAAAAGCTCCTTGGTGAAATCTGGCTTCATGCTGTTTGAGCTGTAAGAATCCAGCTCTATTAAATCATTAGATCATTAGTCCTGAAATCAAGGGGACAGCGACACTTTTCTTTTTCTATGAGGAAAGAAAAACTACATCACCTCATCTGTCTTGAGGCAAGTGAGCTTTGTGGAGCTTCGTGATGCACGTTTTCTTCTGTGTGGTACGATCCCACAGACTGATTAAGGACTCAGGGCAACAGATAACAAATGGCCTTTGGAGTAATTAGTACAAGACACAGAACCTTCTTAAGCAGATGTGGTGTTTTTTTTTTGGCCTCTGTAGAGATTTTCCCCTAGACAGTTCCAAAGATCTCTAGCTTAGTTACTCAAGTCATTTCATTGACAATCATCTTCTAGGTGTCAGGTCCCGAATTAAAAAAGATGGGGCCAGTTCTAAATTAAGGCTAGCTTTTATTTCAGTAGTCTAGATAACTGTTTATGATGTCAAACATTCGTAACCATGGTAACATGAATACCTGTGGTTCTCTGAGGATAACCCATGTGGCATAGGTACACAGAGGAGGGATGCTGGAGCAGTGTGCCTGTGTGTGTGTGTGTGTGTGTGTCTGTGTGTATGTGTGAATATAGGTTTTGTGTGTGTGTGTCTCTCTGTGTGTGAGTGTGTCTCTCTGTGTGTATGTCTCTGTGTGTATGTTTGTGCATGAGTGTGTTTCTCTCAGTGTGTAGTATGTATATGTTTGTGTGTCTCTGTGTGTATGTGTGAGTATATGTATGTGTGTCTCTCAGTGTGTATGTCCGTGTATGTGAGTGTGTGTGTGTGGTGATACAGCACCTCTGTTTGTTATAAATGCTTTACTTTTTGTCTACTGTCTGTATTCATGTTCTGTGACACTGATTTTGGCACAAACATCTCTGAGAATTGTGGAGGTACAGATAGTTATGACTGATAGACTCATGCCTAAGGATGACTGAGATGTCCCAAGTTAGAGCTGTGAGTTTGGTTCCATGACCCAGACATAACATAAACAGCACCGTTTCATCTCTAGCATCAGTGTGTCTCAGTCTTGTACTCCCTACGTATTTTAAGCAGTTTGATTTTGTTCTGATTTTTAAAAACTCACAGGTTGGGTTAAGGACTCACTTCTGCTAGGCTGGGGTTTTGAGAAGGAACTTAGCCATTTTCCTTCTGGAGGGATCATAATAGTACTGGAAGTTGAGGGTTCCATTTAATAGCCACACCTCAAAGCTTAGCAGAGTTGGGTACGGCGGGTCTAAATGTTTCAATTTTGACTTAGAATTCCTGTTTGAACTCTTTATACCATCTGAGATAAGGTTGGGTGCATGACATCTGGCTAGCAAATACGATTTGAACGGAACCTTTAAATTTTAGAATTGAACAGTGTTTAAATGAAACTTTAATAAATAATACCATACACCCTGACAGTGCCCATCTTTATGAACTTGTTTTTAATCATGACTTGGCAGAGTTATGGGGAATCTCTTCCCTTCCTTTCTTCCTCCCTCCCTCTGTCCCTCCCTCCCTCCCCCCTCTCTCCCTCTCCCTTCCTCCAACTTCTTTAACACCTCTGTGACAAATAACTGATTTGGCTTTTGACAAACATCCCCCTCAGGACCGAGAATTTAAAATTATACTCTGCAAAACCTTTGCATTGATTCTTGGTAACACTAAGAAGGATAGCATGTTTGCTGAAATGAATTTCAAGTAATTTTGAAATATATAAGATAAAAGGTAAAAGACACCCTTTTGATTCCTGTTCCAATGGTGTCGCCACTGCCTTTGCTCAGAAAGCAGGCTTCCTCACTTTCTGTGTCCGTTTGGCTTTATCATCACCGTGACAGAATGCCTAGAATAAAATCTTAAGAGGATGGATTTCTGGTCGGACAGTTTCAAAGGTCTGAGTTAATCTTAGTGGGGAGAGAGTGCCAGAACAGATCACTTGATGGTGGACAGCAAGGCCCAGGGAAAGATAAAGCCTCCAACGAGGCCCTACTCTCCACAATATCTCACCTCGGAATGGTCTATTCAAACAGTTAACGTGCTGTGGGGACATTATAATGGAAACACATAATCCTGTACTTTATTTAGCTCTTAGACATTTCTCTTTTTTTCTTTTATTGAAAATAGATTTTTTTCATATAATCTGATTATGGTTTCCCCTCTCCCTATTATTCTCAGTTCCTCCCACATCTCCTCCCATCCAGATCTGCTCCCTTTCTATCTCTTACTAGAAAACGAACAGGTTTCTAAGGGATAATTTTTTTAAAATTTATTTATTTATTATGTATACAGTGTTCTGCTTGTGTATATCCCTTCAGGCCAAAGAAGGGAGCCAGATCTCATTACAGATGGTTGTGAGCCACCATGTGGTTGCTGGGAATTGAACTCAGGACCTCTGGAAGAGCAACCAGTGCTCTTAACCTCTGAGCCATCTCTCCAGCCCCTCTAAGGGATAATTATACAACAAAATATGGTAAGGTAAAACAAAAATTAACTCATTGGGATAGAACAAACAAAACAAAACAAACAAACAAACAAAAAACCAACAGAAGAAAAAGAGCCCAAGAAAAGGCACAAGAAACTGATACAGATGCATAAACCCATTTGTTCATATACTCAGTGATTCTGTAAAAGTGTAAAACTGGAAGTCATAATATATATGCAAAGAACCTGTAGAGTATAAAAATAGAAACAAAATTAAAATTAAAAAAATTGCGGTGGAATAATCATTCTGTACACTGTGTGAATATACGTCACTATGATCGGTTTAATAAACAAGCTGATTGACCAGTAGCTGATCAGGATAAAGTTAAGTGGGAAAGTCGAACTGAGAATGATGGGACGAGGAAGGGCAGAGTTAGAGTCACCAGCCAGATGGAGAATGAGTGGAGCACCCAAAATGGGGTAGAGGTAAAAGTCACCAGCCTTGGGGCAACACATAGATTAATAGAAATGGGTTAAGTTGTAAGAGCTGCTTAGGAACAAGTCTGAGCTATTGGTGGAACATTTACAATTAATATAAGCCTCTGTGTAGTAATTTGGAAGCGGCTCCTGGGATGGGAAAACTCTACCTACAAAAAATTGAAAAAAGAAAAAAAGTAAAAGCACCAACAGGACACTGTGAGACAAGGAACTGTCAAAGATCCCCATGAGTTTGTTTTCTTTTGGCCATCTACTGCTGGGCATGGAGCCTACCCTTAAGAGTAGTTTGTTTCCCCACTGAGACTCCCTTGGAGAAAAGTAAATTTTCAATTCTAAGTGGTTATCAGCTGGAGATATCTTCTGGGTTAGGCATGGGGCATGTGTCCACTTCTCCTTTCAGCTCTAAGACGTCATCTGGTACAGCCCTTTGTAGGTGGTGTGCATGCTCCTCAGTCTCTGCGAGTTCACATGTATGTTAGTCCTGTTAGTTTAGATGGATGGTCTTGTTTCCTTGGTGTCCTCCATCCCTCTGGCTGTTACGCTCTTCCACAAGGTTCCCTGAGCCCTGAGGGGAGAGATTTGATGGAGACATCCTATTTACAGTTGAGTGTTCCAAAGTCTCTCACTCTTTGCTTATTGTATTTCCTATACATTTCTTAATAAGGTCACATTGATAATTAAGATTAATGATTCCCCTCCCCATGTTTATAAAGGTATAACTTACATATGATATGATTCTTTAATAGAATTAAGTGAATACTTTGAGATGAATATTGGCAATTATATAAAATTATATAATCTATAACTATAATCAAGATATAGACTATTTCCATCACTACAAAAATGTCCTCTCTGTACCTTGAAGTCAATGTGCTTACATCCTCAGGGAAGCATCATTTTGTTGTAGACCACCATAGTCTTGCTTATTCTAGAATTTCAGATAAATGAATCATGCCATTGGGTGTACTATGTAATTTTTGAGAACTAACCATATTGTCATATGTATTAGTAATTCATTTCTTCTTATTGCTGGTAAACAAGTTGATCAAAATTGGTTTATTCACATAGTAGCTTGGGATATTTGGGTACTTTTCAGTTTGGGTTATGATGAGTAAGGCTTCAGTGAATGTTAGCTTAAAAGTCTTTTGGGAGATGTGACTTGGGAAAATATGATGTGAAGCTGATAAACAGTTTTCCAAAGCAGAGGCCACACTTTCAATTCCAACCAGCAACTTTTGAGAATGAGAGTTCCTCTGTATCCTTGTCAACACTTGGTGTTGTCAGTGTTTCTAATTTTAGCCATTCTACTAGGTTTTTGCGGCAATTTATTGGTGTTTTAGTTTGTGTCTCTGGTGACCAATTGTGTAAAGATTCTTCAACTAGGTTTTATTGGTCACTTGTATCTTCTTTTGATGTGAGTGTTCAATTTTTTTTCCACATTTTTTTTTATCAAGTTGACCTATTATTGAGTTAGGAATTCTTCATAGAATTGATGAGATGGCTCACACCCTTAATCCTCAGGACTCAGGAGGCTGAGCCAGGTGGATCTCTGTGAGTTCGAGGCCAGCCTGGTCTACAGAGCAAGTTCCAGGACAGCCAGGGCTGTTACACAGAGAAACCCTGTCTGGAAAAACCAAAAACAAACAAGCAAACAAACAAAGAATTGATGAGATGGTTCAGTGGCTAAAGTCATCAG